ATTTCTTCACTAACCTTTCTACTTCTTTCAACACAAGACCACCTTTTCACCCTTGATTTGGTTTTCTAGTATCTGAACAGTTCTGAACAATAATGACATTCAGGTAGGGAACAAATACAATTTCCATACTAAATTAGCTATTCTTTTCTACAGTTCTCAAGAAGTCAAACATTAGACTCTCTTCACAGATTGATACTGGGGTGGATCCTAGAGCTCCAGTTATTGCATGAACTGAAAATGACTGCACGCTGTTGATCTTAGCAAGATTATTTGGAGCAGTATGTGAACAGACAGGCAAAGCATATTCAAATATTGAACAAACTATTTATTGAGCAGTATGTTTTGCTCAGTGTCCTGTAACATGAACCTCAAGAGCAATACATGATAGAAGATTCAATCTCTCCTTTGCTTTGGCTGTCATCTTTCAGATCTACTGATTTCTGATGGTCCAAACCCTAGCTCCATTTCCAAGGTCATTCCTTCTCCATCTAATGCCTTTTCCATCTAATGTCAGTTTCAGACTCAGATTGGATCTCCTACAAAAGTAGGTGGATTTTATTTTTGCTAGGTTCAGCTAGAATTTGTATCTTTGCCCACTTTGCTACAATTTCCAAGTCCTTATTCCATTTATTTGCCAATCCATCTATTTCATAACCCATGATATGAAACACATTATAGAATGCGTCCATATATACAGATGATTTCAAATGGTCTAGCAATCCAGAGGAATACACCAGGAAACAAAGAGTACTAAAACTGAGCCCTGAGAACTCCCACCCTAAGAAGTCCTGTCTTTGATAAAGAATCATTTACTCTTACTGATCTGTCCATGTACAATAAGAAGTCTCTTAGCCAAGGGGGCATTTGACCATAGATTCCCATCTGAGTTTCACTCAGTGCTTATCATATGACTCTATCAAATGTTGCTCTGAGATTCAAAAAGATTTCTGTTGATCACTATTCTGGCTCTTGTTGGAATCTTGCAATAATAGATTGACAGAAGGTCACTATGGGGTGTGTAATTGAATGCAAGTGTTTGTATGCTATTTGAGTAGGTTCGATATTCCCTTGTAAAAAGAAATGGTGGAAGGCTTGACTGTACCATTCCATCTATTATCTTGAAAAGATGGAATTTAAAGGCTGGTATTTAGAGGCTGATAGTGAGAAGACGTCTTGCTAGACTTAAGAAAAACACTAATTGCTAACTTCCACTGATTAGGTACCTTATGCACAGTTCATCATGTCCAACCACCTTCTTCACAAATTGCTTTATCATATGGCCATAGATTAGGTCTAGCCCAGGGCACTTGCATTCAAGCTTTTCTACTGCAGACAATTCCTAAAACACAAACACAAACAAACAATTCTCAAGAAAAGTGTGTGAGAGATCTTTCTAATACAAGATACTCAGTAGGATCCTCTGCCTCGGGCTTCCTGGAGTCAGCCGCTGATCAGCTCCTCGGTGCTACTGGACCAACCCGGCAGCCCCCCAGCTGCTCTGCCCCAGGTGTCCCCAAGTCAGCCGCTGCTGAAACTGATCAGCGGCTGATTCCAGGAAGCCCGGGGCAGAGCAGCTCTGCCTCGGGCTTCCTGTGGTCAGCCGCTGGTCAGTTTCAGCAGCGGCTGAATTGGGGGCAGCTGAGGTGCTGCCCGGGTGGGTTCGCA